CACACAGGCAAAAAAAACCCAAAAAACTCTGTTACATCACTAAGTTTGGGGGTGTGCTACCTATTAATAGATGACCAGAATATATGGGTTACAACTCTATGAGTTCATTGAGGCTAAGACTAAATATTATTCATCTCTCCACCCCTCGCAGAGTGCCTGGCAGGCACCAGTCTTGTTTGCTGAATGAGTAAGTAGATGGGCAGAAATCTGCATGGAGTGTTTGCAAGTTTCCACGGTAATGAAGCCTCCTAAGTCTGCTATGCATCCCTCTTTCCCAAATGTAAGAAAGAACGGGTGATCTCTGACCTCTCTGAAGTGGGAAAGTTCTTTTTCCAGCTTGGATTGGGAGTGGCCTTATACCATGGGGCCGATCAAGAAGCGTTCCGGTGGTCTCAGGAGAGAGGTCTGTATTGCACACAAAGGCCCAGCCACTGGCTGTGCTCCTTAAGAAGATGGAATGTCAGTGAGCCAGGAGATGTGTGGGACTGTGTGTTCATAACACAAATGCTTGCATAAGGCTTGCTACGCATCAGGCCCTCTACAAAGATTAACTCATTAAATATTCACAAGTCTATGAGATAAGCACTCTTGTAATTCTCACTTCACGTATATGAAAAACATGACACGGAAAGACCCAACAACTTGAACGAGATCCTATAGCTAGCAAGTGACAGCTTTGATCTAGAGAGCCTAACCCTGGTGACTGTGATGCTTTTTTTATTCCCCACCCCTCTGGGAAGAATCGTGCTATTATTTGTGACCCCAGGGTCATGGCATTTGGGAGGAAGGGGTAACTTTTACTAAGCAAGAAAAAGGAGAAGAAGAAGAAAGAGGAAGGGGAGAGGGAGAAAGTTGGAAGAAGAAGGGGACAGGAAGAGAAGGAGAAAAGAAAAATGCCATTTTTTGGTGACCTTAGGAAAGACATATAACCTTTCCGTGTCCTAAGGTTACATGTAGTAATTTGCTTTGGCATGAAGCCAATGACAAAATTTCATTTTTCTTTAGAGCATTAGAGATTCTCTGGCAAATGATGTCTTTTAAGTGCCCAATTGTAATACTATTAATGATCTTTATTTATAGAGGTACAATGTTCTCATATTGTACGTGAAGAAATGAACCGAGAGCGTGTGTGGAGGGCAGGAGAAGGGCTTCGCTCCTCGATGAAAGCCATTAACCTAAGTCTAGCTCTTCATGTCCCATTGAATCCTAAATGTATTATCTTATTTTTAAATCAAGGAAAAAAACTCGGATATGGCAGGTAATTAAAGTCATTCTGAGAAAAGTGTGCACACATGGGTTGTATTGCTAACCTTTGAACAGAAAGCAAATAGCCAAGTTTGGGAAGGTCCGAGCACTGGATGAACATTGACCTATTTCAGATACTTCTGTGACTCATCCAAAAAGCTCCAGATCACAAGTTCAGCATCTAAATGGAAACACAAATGCCATAGTATGGAGATTTTCCTCACTTCAATGACTACCCTTCCTAAATCAAGAAACATTCTAATTTGAGGTATACCAAAAATAGCATTGGTCCATATGGAGCCACAAATTAGCATTTTCTATAAATAGGCATCATTTTGTCAGAGGCCCAAGTCTAAAATGAAAACTTTATATAATACTATGACCATGTTTTGATGTCAAGAAATTCTCAATCACTATTCTGGTGCCATAAAAAGAAATCTAAAATGGGCTTATTTCTATTTTTTGCTGGTGATTAAATATCATGGTCAAGATTTTTAAATCATTCCAGTGTTGTGCAGGAAAAAAAAATGGGAAGAGCTAGGAAAGCAGTAATTTCAAAAAAGTAGGCTTCCCAGTATCCTACAGAATATGGTCACAAAGTAAGAAAGGGTCCTTAGAGAAGACAGAGGAAGTCTTTGTGCCAAAAAGAAAACATCTCATTCAGCGTAGCAAATACTTGTGAGGAAATCAGAAGCAAATAGAATCTTCAACATACTAAATGCACTTTGCCATTGTCCTCACTCTTCCCCATATCTTCTTCAAACTCATCTGATTTCCTTCAGATGTCCTATCACAAGAAGGAAAAGCAATTTCCTAAAACAAATATATATACTTAAATTTCTACTTCCAATGCAGATGAGTAGGAAACCAAAAGATATATTTAGAGGTTTCCCACAGAAAAAGCAGCACCACGATGGAAGGCAGACTTGGCTCAAGCGCTGAGACCATCAGCCTCTGTGACTTTGTACACATCATTTGGTCTCTTGGGACCACAGTCTCCTCTTCTAAAAAATGGAATTACTACCTGCTTCGCTCTCAGATTGTTATGAAAATCAGGTGATATGATGCCGTTGTATGCCCTAAACCATGATGTGCTCTGAACACATCAGATGCTATACAGGATCTTCTTTTAAAAGTTCTTAAACTCTTCCTGCAAAAAGCATGGGATCTATATTTCTTTGTCAAAAGGGGGGAGACTTACAAAAGCTCATGAGTTAATAAAGCCAAAGAAGCATCAAAATGTTGATTTTCCTCTTGATGCAATCAGGATGGTACAAGAACTAACGCCAAAATAACAGTCATTTGATGTTTAATGAGTATAATTTAATCCTTTGGAAAGACTACGTCATGTTTGTCTCACCTAAAACCACTCTGTTCCATCAGTGATGAGCACCCCACACTTTAGAAAACACCAATCTAGAGAATCCTTATACTTCTAGAGGTAGAATTCTGGGTTTCTGTTGCTAAGTGATTTAACTAAAGGCACAACTTCATTCAGTTGCAAAATTGGGCTAAAAAGTATAAGGTCTTTATACTCTTTAGTATAAAGACATCTTCAAGGTCTTTCAGCTCTCCTCACTAATGAAGCTCACAATCGACTAAGTTGTACATGATTTCTCAGGTTTTCCAAACTGATAGACTACATATGAATAACAGGTCCCTCAAACAGTTAATGACCTCTGGGAACTGGGATTTCACTACAGATGGTTAGCAATGGAAAACAAATCTCGAGTTGTTATCAAAATTAAACACTTGCCGATGAATGATTAGATCCATCAAGTGGCTAATGAGAAGAGTGTCTTCTTGTGTTGTTAATCACGTATAGCATTTATGTATGCTCAGTACCGCAGAACCCTCTAGACCCATCCACATGGGTTGCCTGTCAAGTAGAGTGCTCATGTCTTGACCCTTCAGGAAATTTGGCGACACAGATGGGATCATGTCACTCTCCCGCAGGTTCCTCATTACCTGTGGGATAAAATCCAGTCTCTAACACCATCTCAAAAGTCTCCCATGATCTTCTCCATACTCACCCCTTTTTCAGCACCATCTTGTTTCACTCTTTCTTTTGCTCTCCATGTTCCAGCCATACCGACCCTATTTTTTCAGTCTGGGCTTGTTGGCACTATTTCTTCAGCCAAGAATGCTCTTACTGAGCCCTAACACCTCCCCAATCGTGCTATGCTCCTGTATTCTTCAAGTGTCAGATTAAATAGCACTTCCTCAAAGGAGTCTTCCCTGTACCCCCAGATTAGATTATATCCAACTGTCACAACTTCTCTACTTTATTTTTCAACTTCATCTGGATCATTCTCTTTTCCTAAATATTCATGGTATAAATCTACTTGGGGTGCAGAAGCCATAACCCCGTCCTCCATCGAGCTGCATGACACTCCAGGATCCTTGATATAATTCCGTCATGAGGGGTGCCCCTCCTCAAAGCTTAAGGCACCATATTGTCCAAGCTAGTGGGCTCAGGTGATCCTCACACAATCCTGGGGCACAGAAGGATATCCTCAAGCCTGCCATCTTGCTTTCTGGAAGCAACAAAATTTGTTATGCTTACACATGAAAGCAAATGTTATAATTTGCTTCTCAGGTAGTCACAGTGATGAAGAGAGGCCTTGGAGTAATGAGAGAAAGTGGCGTAAGGGAAAGAGTACTGGACAAGGAATCAGAAGACCTAGATTCTAGATCTAGCTCTAACCTTAAGCATCCAGCTCTTACAGCTAAAATACCTTTCCCTTTTCAATTGTACAGACCTTTTGCCTACGGGGTTCCCATGAGCACCAAATGAAATATTTATATTTTACTGCTTGTATAGAGGAGTTTCTGGTTCTTCGATTATGGAAAAAAAAATGATAAAACCATAAAATGCTAGGCAAAGTATGATAATTTTGTCACTAGTCCTTGGAAGCAGTTTTATCCTCCTGATTTTGGACAGAATCTATGAAGAGTAAAGTGATTTTTCATTCCCTGCCATCTGATGGCTGGTAAAGATAGCCCAGTTCTCACCAGGCCAGTTAGTGAAGGTGGCATTAAAAGTTATATCTGGTTCGTCTTCGAGAGGCAACAGGGCAGTGACTGGGTATCAGGTACCTCCCTTGCTTTCCCTCGTTCTTCTCTAGCATGAAAACTCTCTCCAGATGAAACAGTCCATATTAAACCTCCTGTGGGTCAGTTTTCTGTTGGCTTATGTCAAGGCTTGACATAAATGGTGATCTGAATCATAGGTCAGAGAAGTTACCACCTACAGGAAGTGGTTTTAGAAGAAACATAAGTCCCATGTCTCCTCAATGGTGCTCAAATTACTGAGGTGGAATCTTTTCCCCCCACAATTAGAGATGAAGTTGAAATTTAAATCTTCATATAAGTAATACAGTAAAGTTTTGCCACAGTGCTAATGAGTAAGGCTTTTTTTTTGATAAGAGCACTTGCGGAAGAGGGTATTAGACACATGCCATATAAAAGGAAAAGAGAGAGACAAAGGAAAAAAAAAAGAACCGAATTCATTCTTCTGACTTTACTCTTTTAGGTTCTGAGACATTAAAATGGATAATTATTTTTAAGTGTACTGTTGTTGTAGTTTTAAATTACCACAGCTGAAATAACTGTGGTGAGAAAAATACAGGAAGAAATAACTCCTGTCTAAACTCAATCCCCACAGTGCTTTCCTGGGTTCTAGAATATTCCTCAGAAACTCGTAGTGACAAGGAGCCAGGTTGACCTAATGTTGACATTGTTTCTAACTGCAGACTTATCAATGAATCTCTGAGGGACCAGCTGCTGGTGACCATCCAGAAGACTTTCACGTACACTCGGACCCAAGCCCAGCATCTGTTCATCATCCTCATGGAGTGCATGAAGAAGAAGGAATTGGTATGTCAACAGCATCCCCCATGAGCGGCAGAGCCCTCTCCATATTCCCTTGGTCCGTCAAAACATTTTCTTGAATCACACGCCAACTGTTCTTCATTTCCAGCCAAGCTCACAACGTTCCTCAGCCTCCATTGGCTCCTGTAGCCTCCTCCCCTCAGTAGCTAAGACACTACTTTTTGTGCCCGGATTTAATGAAGTGTGCACAGCCGGGCTTCCACACCCTAGTGAAGCTCGCCCCAATGCTTCTGATTGCCTCCACCAAATGAGTTGAGGAGAGAAAACAGGTATCCTCCTGGAAAATGCTTCCCTTCAAGGCTTTCCCTTTATTTGGGAGTAGGGAATTGCTGATGGGCTTATTGTCAAATATCTTAGTGACACAGGACTGCTATGCTAATATGCTCATCCATGCAGGTAGAAAAGGGAGGGATGTGCCCGCGGAACGCTGGAAACTTCCATAGCTTCTGAAGTGTCCTCCAATAGCTACTGAAACATTTCTTACATCTGGTGAAAAGTGTCTTGCAAATGTGGTATCATCACAGAGACCTTCTGTTAGAGTGAACAGAAATAACATGAGCTAACATTTAACGAGTACTTGCTATGTGCCAGGCAGTATGCTAAGTCTTTACATGTATTAACTCCCGCGATCTTTACAACGGGCCCAAGGAGAGAGGCGGGATCGTTATCCTCACCTGACAGATGAGGAGATGCAGACAGACTTGATTACTAAACGAGGAAGCAGGACTCCATACCGCAGTATTTCATCTCTGTGGAAAATGTTCTTAGCAGAACTCACCCCACCAAAGCCCACTCTGAGCGGATTCCCTGCCCACCTCCGTGGGCAGAACCTATCCTCAGAGGTCACAAGAGTCCGCCTGCTGACAGGGGAAGTTAAAAGAGCAGCTTAAATCAGAGCAGAAGCCTCACTCAGGCTTTGAACCACCTCAAGGCCACGTGGGCATCTGGGGACACTGGGGAGGGGACACCTCACCTCCAGCGGGGCACCAGGGCCAGACCCTGACAGGTTCAGCCACAGGGAAGCAGAGAGGGTTGGGAGGGCCTGGAGTGAGCCACTTTCAGCCAGCTCCCCCACTAGACCCTAAGCTCCTCCAGGCACGGTCTATAGTCCTCTTGCTCACGATGGTGTCCCTATGCCCAGGACAGTGGCTGGCATACACCAGAGCTCACTGAGACTGCCAGGAAGAGGGGGAGCAGGGGAAGTAGGCAATTTCTGAGTGTAAAAAGCCAACATTTGGGAAAACTGGCTTTGATTCAAGTAAGCAACACCCATGTCCAGAAAGCATCTGCATGACCTCTGTGAGAACCTTCAGCCCCTTCCAGGTTTGGGGTGTAAGTTGCCACCTCTAATCCTTGAGTGTCCAAGGTAGTCTGGCCACCTGGTATAGAGAAGCCAGTGCACAGATGGGTTTCACAGCCGGGAGCGCTGCTGCCCACAAGGAGACTATCAGTTCAAACTCTTCCTCTAGCCCCAAAGTGGTACGTGAACCCCTGAACCTGCCACACGAAGGATGGATTTCTTGCTGACTGCCTGCTAATGGCTTTCCAATGCCAGCCATGAGAACTTACCAGAACGCTCCATTTCAGAGGTCCTGTAAATTTCCTAGAAAAGCAGTTAAGATTAAAATTCCAGGAACCACTTGGAAGTCATAAAACCGAATGAAGGTGAATGTCCTCTCCAGATGAGGTATTTTGTAGGACTGTTCCCTGGGATTCTGCCTAACAGTCATTATGTCCCTTCATCATGGTCCCTGCTGAAAAGGTCAAGTGTATTTTAGTGACAGATACTCACTGCAGGATAGATGACATATCCCTCACTGTAGGCTAAGGCAATGCAATCTTAACAAGAAATACATTGTCCTCATTTCCATAACTGGGCAGGAATGAAGATTTTTTAAGTCATGTCATTAAAATGATTTTCATTTTTGGAGGGACTGTTTATGTATGTAGACAGTACTAGATGCTCTATAAAGATGTGGACAGGAGGTAGGCCTTGTTTCTTTCCTTTGGAGGGGACCAGGGGAAAGGACTGAGGTGGGAGAGGGAGGAGCACCCAGTCAGGATAAGCCCCCCCAGGGGCTGTCTTGCTGCGAAGCCCCAGCAGCTACTCCCCATGCTGCCCAGGATAGCACCTCCCAGGTCCAGAAAGCATCCGCATGACCTTTGTGAGAACTTTCAGCCCCTTGCAGGGTTGGAGGGAAAGTTGCCACCTCTAAGAAGGAGCCTTCACATGAAGTGGTATATGATATTTTGAGGACAGTCTAACCCTTGCTAAGTTCAGTGAAGGAACTTGGTTCCAGAGCTGAACTGACATCTTTCTCATCCTGGCATTGTCATAACTTCTGTAGTGAAGAACTTCATTAGGCAGGTGTAGTAGGCTTGTGAAACTTGAGCCTCTGGGCCAGGTGGCCTCATGGAAAATACCTCTTCATGGGCCTTTTGTGTTAATGCTTTCTATTCATTTCATATTGTTCTTGGAGAAATTTGCTTCTCCTCTCACGCTCTCACCCACACCCTCCTTTTCTTCCTCGTCTAGACTGTTTCTGTCCCCGCACTAAGCTGGTCTGCCCCAGTCCAGGACCCTCCCGCAATCCATTCTGTATGCTGAAAGGTTGGCAAACATCCGGGGTTTGTGCGCCGCAGAAAGTCTCTGTCGCGGTTTCTTTGTTTATGTGCTTCTTTGTTTTTAAACAACACTTCAAAATCTCTAAGCCATTTCCTACTTACTGGCCATCAAGAAACAAGCCGTGGGCCAAATGGGACCCACGAGCTGTGCTTTGCTGGCCGCTGACACTCAGTGCTGCCCGCGACTTCCGACCTAAGCCCAGAACCGATGACATCACTCCTTCGAATGGAAGGTGTCCTGTGTTGCTTCGATTTCCGGTCTTAAGTTCCACCACTTTTTTATGGACCTTTCATGTTACCTAAACCAGTCTTCTTGCAGTTAATTTTTTATTGCCTGTTTCCCTTCATTCATTCAAACTCAGAGCTCTCTCGTTAGCCGTAACCAATGGACAGACACATACGTGCCCACGAATGCACATGAGCACACACATTCACATCTTCCCCCGCGCACACCTAGCATGCACTGCATTCCTTTATTTGCAACTCTCTCGCGGTGCTGGCCATTGATACCTTAAGTCATTTAGGTATGTCTCTGCCTTCTCACGTGAGCTCCAAAGAGCAGAATCTGTGTCTAATTCATTCTTCTGTTTTCCCTGCGCTCACTTACCCCTTATCGGTCAGTAGCACAGCGCATACACAGCAGACACTTGATAAATCTTTATTTAATGGATGAGTGAATGAATTCAGAGGAATATACATTAGCAAGGAGAGGTACGTATTTAATATCCATAAATCGCCTTAAAATATCCACTAAATGCAGTATTACCTCTCCGTAGGGAGTCATAGATGTGGTTTATGGACTCTGGTTTGACTCCGGGCCATCTGCTTCAGTGATGGGCGCTATGCCTGTGTTGTGGTTAGGAGGGGCAAACTCTAGAAGCAGACAAACCTGGGTTCCAACTCTGGCTTCATCATTCAAGGGACTTAACTCCATGAAGCCCCAGGACTGTCTACTTCAAAGATTTTATTTTTTATTATTTTTTTAACAAAGATCACAAATAGGCAGAGGCAGGCAGAGAGAGAGAGACAGAGGAAGCAGGCTCCTCGCTAAGCAGAGAGCCCAGAGAGCCCAATATGGGGTTTGATCCCAGGACCCTGGGATCATGACCTGAGCTGAAGGCAGAGGCTTAACCCACTGAGCCACCCAGGCACCCCTGGACTGTCCACTTTAAAAGTGATAATAATACCCATGTGTTCTAGGATTGGCCACACTTCCTCATCTTAGAACAGATACACTTGATTCTTTAAACACACACACACACACACACAGAGACAAAAATTATAATAGACCAAATGATCAAGACTGGCGCGAGGGTCTCACATGCCCTCCATCCATGTCCTGCCTTAGACGAGGCCGAGCGGAATCCAGATGTCACTCATACAGCTTCCTGTCCTTGCTGGACAGTCCCAGGCTCCACCACTGGTGAATGTCCCCTAGATACATGGGAGGGCAACGGCGGAGGGTCGTCTGTGCCTTACCAATGAGACTCTGGGTGGAGATCTGTGTCTTTATGAGGTTGTAGCTAAAGTGCATGCTGATATCCCATCACACCCTCTGCCCCATGCGGGAAACTGAGGGATGACTTCCTACCTATCTTTTCACAGATTCATAAAATATCAAGCAAACATGACTTCTGAACAAAGAGGTTTCTTCTCTTTTTGCCAACGGCCCCTTATATCCAGGGAAGGACCACAAAGTCCTTGCTTGGAAATGCAATGCTTGTCAGACTCTTAATACCACGGGCCAGTGGCTGAGTGGTACTCGGCAGGTTAGGGTCTCAGTGTCGTGTAGGAGATGCTCCTGGAGACCCCGGTTACTCTATGGGCCCGACTTACTGAGAGAACTCAGCACTTCAGCATGGGTAAAGAATGTTGGCTCAGTGGGTGGCTGGTAGGAAGTGCTGGATGACTTTTCGCTGTAATTGCACTTATTTAGCAAGTAACTACAGCTACTAACCCGAGTGTAAGCACAGATGTCTACTCTTGCCCTTGTGTTTTTGTAGTCCTCACTAAAATTGTCAGTGAGGCACAATTTGAGGTGGGAGACTTATTATCCCACCTTCAAGTTCCAGCTCCCCGCTTTGCTCATCTTAATGGACGGAGAATATAGACAAGAGGAAACATACATGGAACTTCCTAATGTCCTCCCCATTGAACACCAATGCCCAGACAGACAAGCACAGTGAACCCCTATGATCATGACGGAAGAAATGCTTCAAGTTGCAAAGGAAGGGGCTTTTTAGGCCAAATGGCTGAAAGTCATAGAGTCATGTATCAAGTTTAAAAAACAGTTCTTGGGGCACCTTGAGTGGCTCAGTGGGTTAAGCCTCTGCCTTCGGCTCAGGTCCAGGGTCCTGGGA